CGATGGCGGCTAGTTCGAGGTCGTGGGTGGGGTAGTTCTCTTCGTGGGTTTTGAGCTGCCTGGATGCGTATGCTATTACTCGGCCCTTTTGCATTAGTACGCACCCCAGTCCCTTTTTGGATGCGTCACTGAAGACCTCGAATCCTTCCTCTCCGGAGGGGATAGCGAGTACGGGTGCCATGGTTAGCTTATCCTTCAATTCTTGAAAAGCCGAGATGCAGTCGTTGTCCCATCGGAAGGGGGTTTCCTTTTTCATGAGTTTGTTGAGGGGTTGGGCTATCTTGGTAAAGTCGGGTACAAACCTTCTGTAGTAGCCTGCCAAGCCTAGGAAGCTTCGGACTTCTGTGAGTGAGCTTGGTGTGGTCCATTCCTTAACGGCACGGATTTTGGCGGGGTCTACTTTAATCCCTTCCTTGGTTATCACGTGGCCCAGGAAGGCTACACTGTCCTTCCAGAATTCGCATTTAGAGAATTTGGCGTAGAGTTGGTGCTTCCTTAGTGTTTGCAGGGTTATGCGGAGGTGTCTTTCATGTTCTTCCTTGTTGCGGGAGTAGACTAGGATGTTGTCGATGAATACAATGATGAAGTCATCCAAGTGGGGTCAGAATACTCGGTTCATAAGGTCCATGAATATGGCAGGTGCGCTGGTGAGTCCGAAGGGCATTACTGTGAATTCATAGTGGCCGTAACGTGTTCGGAAAGCTGTTTTCTGAATGTCCGGTTGGGCCACTTGTATTTGGTGATACCCGGATCTCATATCGATTTTCAAAAATACCCCTGCCCCTTTAAGTTGGTCGAATAAGTCGTCAATTCGGGGAAGGGGGTACTTATTCTTTATTGTGACTTGGTTAAGTTCCCTGTAGTCGATGCACAGGCGCATGCTTCCATCCTTCTTTTTAACAAACAACACTGGCGCTCCCCATGGGGAGGTTCTAGGGCGGATGTAACCCTTGTCTAGCAATTCATGTAGTTGCGTTTTCAGTTCCTTCATTTCTTTTGGTGCCAACCGGTAGGGTGGTTTAGAAATCGGGGCAGCGCCTGGTACGAGATCTATGGTGAACTCGACTTCTCTGGCTGGGGGTGCTCCGGGGATTTCGTCCGGGAAGACGTCGGTGAACTCGTTTACTACTAGGAAGGCCTCGCTTCCCTTGTTTAGGTATTTCTTCATTTTCACCATGTTTACCAATTTGATCCCGGCTTCTCGGTGGGTCCCACGGTATGACACTCTCTTACCGTTCGGTCCCCGTAGGACCACTTTTTGTTCTCCGCATAGGATCTGCGCTTGGTATTTCCCTAGCCAGTCCATGCCCAAAATCACCTGTACCCCATCTAGTTTGAATCGGATAAGGTCGCTGGGAAAATCCACCCCTTGTATGGTAATCATTACATTTTCGTACATGCGGTCGCATTTCTGGATCTCGCCGGAGGCCACCTTGACCTGACGTCGGACCTTGGTGCTGGCGTTGAGGTCGAGCTGAGTGGCAAACTCAGTTGCTATAAACGAGTTGGTAGCCCCCGAGTCAAATAGTATAGTGGCGGGGGTGGCCTGTACCAGAAAGGTTCCGGAGACTATGTTGCTATCTCCAATCCTGGCTTTGCTTAGAGTAAGGATTCTCCCTTGAGTGGTTGGTGTTGTGACTTGTTGAGGTGAGGTGGCTCTGGGGTTTTTAGGTCCGCCGTTGGAGTTCATATGATTTCCTTCGGATTTCCTTTTGTACCACAGGCATGTCTCCCGGGGTTGGTTTGGCACTTGTTGTAGTTGGGATGCCTTGGCATAGACCTCCCCGAGGGTTCCTAGTTCTTGTGTGGCCAGGGCTTTTTGATATTCGGGGTCAAGGCCTGTTATGAACTTTTCGATCTTGATCCTCTCAGTGGGTACTAGCTCGGGGATGAGGCGAGCCAGTCGGTGGAATTGTTGGTAGTATTCCGTGATCGAGGTTGCACCTTGTCTTAGGTGGAAGAATTCTTCGTACAAGGTGGCCCTTAGATGATTGGGATAGAATCGTCCTCGTAGTCGTGCCTTTAGGGATTCCTAGTTGAATTCATGGTTATGTTTACATGTGGGTCCCTCGTGGTCCCACCAGGTATCGGCCTCGTGCTTGAAGTAGAAGGAGGCTATTCTTACTTGGTGGTTTTCGGGGCATTTGGTTGCCCTGAATATCTTGTCGAAAGTTCCGATCCATTCCTCGAGGGCTGTGGGGTCTTCGTTCCCTGAGAAGGTGGGTGGTTGATGTGCCGAGACTTGGTGGTGGATTTACAAGTTCTCGTTTGTTGGTAAGGGTTGGGGAATGGTAGTCCTTAGTGCCTGGGCAATTTGGGCCAGGCGTTGCAGATTCTGTGTCAAGAATTCCTCAGTGGGGAGTTTCGGTGTTCCTGTCTGTCCCTTTTTCGGTGCCATCCTGGTATTCATAAGTCGATGTTATTTTGTATCCTTACCTGGATGCAATAAGTGAAGGGGGGAGTTCCTTTAGAGAGGGAGTAAGTGGGTGGGTTATGTGTAGGTTTCACAATCTCACCGCGTGTCCTAGGATTTCCAAATCTTATGTTCCTGAGTACCTAGAGTTCAAGCCTAATGTCCTAAAGTTCGGTCTTAAAAGTCTTATCCTAGGGTCAAACTTAGGCTCTGATACCAACTGTAACACCCCAGATTTTCAGGATATTTAAAACTTATAAAATAAAGGTGAAATCTCATTAAATCCCAGAACATAATACAAGGGTATGGGGTGCTATGCCACACCTGAGCTAGAGAACTCAGGTGCACAGGCTAACTATCTAATATCCTCAAATAGTATCAATACTAAATCATGGCACGCAGGCCGGAAGGAAAAAACTATCTAAGCTACGTCCAAGCTTCTAGCGCGCTCCAGTGATCTACTCATCTGTGCCTGAAAGCCAAATATATCTGTTCAGCGAGAGATGCTGGTAACCCACTCCAACGCGTTGAAATACAATACATATAGATATACATATATATAGATATATGAAATTTCATTTTGAACATGAGGATATCTCCTACGAACTCTAGCTTTTAAAACAGGGATAGACTCAACAGATAGGGCTAAGCACAGACAGCAGTTATACCGAATATATACAGTTTACAACAGGCAAGACAGATAAGATAAGCACAATTAATAATCATAACCCAACATATACTATCCCCGGTATAAATCTCATAGTCTCATCCCCAAGATACTCATAACAACAACTCATCCATACTTCATCAAATAGCACACTTTGTTGGCGCCACAGGACCAATCGCATGCCCATACATGAGGGTCAGCGCATATAGCTCTGACACGTCCCCGCAGCACCCTGCCCCGTCTCACAGCACGGAGGGGTCGATCGCAACCGACCGATGAGCCGCAGCTCTATATAATATTTATATACCTGACCGGTCTCTACCAGCCTGGTTAACAGTTGGGATGGTTCTCAACCCATTCAACTGCCCGTATAGTGGACCTCTGTCCTATATAATACTTATATACCTGACCAGTCTCTACCGGCCTGGTTAACAGTTGGGATAGTTCTCAACCCATTCAACTGCCCGTATAGTGGATCTTAGTCCTATATAATATTTATATACCTGACCGGTCTCTACCAGCCTGGTTAACAGCCGCTATGGTTCTCAGCCCACCCGACTGCCCGTATAGCCCGATTGATCTCAACCAAGTCGGGGTAACATGCACACATAACACATAGCAAGCACATGCAACCCACATTAACACATTGGGAAGGGGGAGAAAACGTATAACAAAACCTATGCGTGATCCTTCACATACTAAGAATAGTCCTAAGGGGTTCATACTTCTTTCACCTAAGTCAACGGGGTACCAATTCAACTAGCATGCAATATATAAGACCCATACGACCTACGAACGGTACCCGAAAATCAAACTAGACATAGGCACGATAGACGGAGTCCGTTGGGACACCACGGGGGTCGGGGGAACATCAAACGGGGAAGCCAAAATCCCCAATTGGGGTGCAAACCGAGGGGGTTGCCGGTGGGTGAGGGTTCACCCGCCGGCTGCCCGCTGGCGGCAGCCATTCCGGGCAGCGGGTGCCCAACGGGCAGCTGCCCGCCCGCCGGCTGCCCGCTGCCGGCGTTGCCCAAGGAGGCCGCGGGTAGGTGGCGGGTCCCCTACCCCCACCTACCCCCCACTGACTCTTTTCATCAAAAACACCCCGGGAACCTTTGTGGAACCCGAAACCATGCTTAGACACTTTCAAACGCAATTGATAACACACGTAGACAATTAACGGATCAAAATCAGGAAACAAACGGCACATAACCTATCATGCTTTTCTAAACATAATAAACACCCAATCATGCGAATTCCCACCCAATATACCAAGAATAATTCCATACGATACATCCTAGCGTTCAAATCAATTTTAAATCAACAACGTCGCGATTCATCTTCTAATATCAAGATTCGGTAAGAATATTATATAAACATCAGGAACATCCTACAATCATCAAGAACATCATATAATCATCAAGAACGTCATATAATCATCAAGAACACCATAATTATCAGGAACCTTTCATCATCAAGATTATCCATGGAATTATCCCATCAATCATCAATAATAACACAAATCATCAATACACAATAATATGGGGAAATCCTAAGAGGGGAATCATAGCTATGAAAATAGGTTTTGTTGAGACATGGGTTACCTCTTAGCCTTAATTAATTCCTTGGCTATGAAGGGTCTTTCTTTAAGCTTTCTTGCTTTCTTGATTTCTTCTAAGGGGATTCTTGGAGCTCTTTGGGGTGGTGGAACGTTTATTGTGGTGGGGGATTTCTAGGTGCCTCTTAAGCCCCCTATTTATATATTTAGGAGTCTTAGTTAGGAACTAATATTATAGGCTTGCTAATTCTATTTCTTTTGGAACTAAGGATTGGGTTTAGGGATAAGGGCCCGTGGACTATGGTGGGCCTTTCCTTATTTGCCTATATCTCAATCATAGCAATTAAACACCTTAGGCTGGGAAAAAAGCAGTATAGAAATGACGGTGATGCTTTATTATTTAAAAGTTCAAAACTAAAATGAAAGGTTTAACAAGATGCATCATTAGTCTGTCTAACAACTACACTACAGTAATCATGTACACATGATTTTCAAATACTTCTACATGATGGTTCCACTGGGAATCAATGCATCCTTGATGATTGTGACGATTCCACTTTTAATGAAATATCCTTCAGTTTCCCTAGCTGCTTCTTGAACATTTTCACGGTTAATGATCTGAAACAATCAAGAGTCAAGTTAGCTGCTTCTTTATGTTACACGTGCATAGAAGATTGACCACACTTGTTCACTAGATTAATAGCCAAGTTTTTAAAAGCAAAAAAAAAAAAAAAAAAAAAAAAGAGGAGAAGAGCAGAAAAATTTGATATCGAACCTTCACATCATTCCCAATACGAGCATTCTTGTCAATGATTGCTCTTTTGATGTGTGAATTCCTGCCAATTCCTATTGGAACACTTCCCTTTGCAGCCAAAAGCCTCCTGTCAGTGAATAACTTAAAGTAATAAACATAAAGTACTAACTTGCACAGTGAATAACTTAAATGTAATAAAATTAAAAACTGAAATAATTAAACGGTGAAGAAAAGACAGACCAGACTTGAGCAAAGAAGTATTGCCACAACTTGATAGATTGAAAGCTTTAGCAGATGATAGTATCAGTCATTACTTGGTTAGTGGCTGTGCATTTTCCTCCCCTGTCATAGTCAGGCTTCTGCAACACAAGTAAGTCACTTTCTTTGCCAATCTGCAATAAATTTCGAAAACGTTTTTTGACAAAAAGTAATGCTCTTCAAATGCTGTAATGTGCAAGAAGTATTAAGTAACTCACAAGTACACTCAGAAATCTATAACCCATCGAGCCAATCAAGTTTTTCAATGTCAACAGGAGACCAATCAGGTCTATTTCAAGAAACTCACTGTCTTAGATAGATTTTGCTTTCCTTGTGCTCATTAGTTCTGCTCTCAATTTTCAAGTCCTGCTAAGTGATTCAAATTCATCACATACATCTTAGCTATTCACTGTGTTAGAGGAGAAGGAAGCTCAGGCTGGAATGCCATTGAAGCTTATCATATATATATATTTATCCCCACAGATTGATTAGGATGTTAGTGTGAGGGACGCAACTTAAACGATAAATCCATGCAATCCAACATCAAGCATTCACACTGATCTCAAAGACTTAATGAGAAGTGATAATTACCTTCACTTTGGTAGATGCTCATCAGGTTGTCCCTTTCACTGGATAAACATTCTTGATAACCATGGCACTACAAAATTGACCAGGTCACAACCTACATGGTTCTCACTTTTTGCCTGCATTTGATTGAGAACCAACAAATTATTCCAAGTATAAACATTATTAACAACTCTTACTATTCTTTCTTCCGTATTCTTTCTTTCAAATTTTTCTTTTTTTATACCAAATTCAAAGCGTAGTTGCTCAATTACTATCACCTTTTTAAAATGAAAAATGTAAGGACACACTATAAAGCTAAAACAAATGTAAACAACGACAGCCATCTTTAAATATGGAAAATATGTGTACATAGACAGAAATGATCTAAGAAATTGAATAAATAAACTAAAAAAAAAAGTGATGATGCATTGTTCTGCTCAATCTTTAAAATTAGTAATTAATGATGTTTAATATATAACATTAATTTAAATGTGTAAATATTTATACATTATTATCATATATATCAAACTAATTAATTAACTAAGAATTGATTTCTCATTGAAAACTACAATAAAGTCAATTAACATGCATATTGACTACATTATTACATTAATACATATTTCAATGCTATAACAATTCAAGACCCATGGAACCATGAGCTCATTGAAATTTCATAAACATATATAATCACAAATAAATAAAACATCTCTTAATACCAAAAGCTCATAAGCTCAGAATTCTAAGAACAACTCAAGAAAGCCAAAGCAACTACTACCCAACTATACACATAAATACATAATCCCTCTAAGTAGTGCCTTCCAACCCTCCAAGTGAAAGAAAACCATCTTACCATTTCAGTTTCACAAAATTTATATACCAATTGATATAAACAATAGAAACTCGTAAACTTGCCCTCTACTATCCTACATGCTCAAAAATATGAACCAATGCATCAGATTGTGCTAGACAGGAAAAGTATTAAAATTGAAATTGTATATTGAAATTGAAATTGTACTTGTATATTGAAATTTTATTTTTCATATACATTTAAAATTCCTCGGCAACAGAATCTTCAGCAAGAACAACACTATACACAACAAAAACAGAACTCGAAGCTTACAGGAACTTTTACTTCAAGTCTACTGACACAAACTCTAAATATATAAATATAATATAAAATAAAATAAAAAACTTACCTCAAGGTCGCCGGCAATGGAGGCGGCCAGTGAACTGTTGTGGTGGCGAGCGACGAGCGGGGAGGAGGCGGTTGGCGATGGCGGGCGTTGTTGTGGCTGTTCGGCGAAGAAGCGGTTGGCGGCGAGGAGGCGAGGCGGTTGGCAGCGAGGGGGGGAGGCGTAGAGGCGAAGAGCCGAAGAGGCAAGGCAGCAGCGTGGCCGTCAGACGTGCGTGACGGATTTTCGGATCGGAGGGTTTGGGATGAAGGATTTGGCTAAGGGTTTAATTTGGGGGAAATATATGCAGATCGCGATTGAGACAGAACTCAGGGGTAAAAGGATTTTCTATAATTCTATAATTATTATATAATGTATAATATATTAATTAATATTAATATTAATATATACATATAAATAGCTTCAGTTATTCGGTGACCGCGGTTTTCAATTGGCTATAACCGATAAAATTCGAATGGCCATACAATTGAATTTTTTTTTTTTTTTGCTTGTAACTGATAACCAAAATTTTCGGTCGGTTCGATTTTATCGATTTTTCAGTATTCTTGCTAACCACTAGCGTCAACTATAGTTTTATTTTATTTTAATTTTAATTTCATATTAAAAAGCCACCGTTTAACTTAGAAGAAAAAAATAAAATTTAACAAAAATATTGCGACGGAATCCAGACGGTCGCAATTTCCGTCGCAATATTGAGTCAATATATCAAAATTTAATTCATTTAACGACAGAAACAAGTAGGTCGCAATTTCCGTCGCGAAATCGCGACGGAACGAACATCGGTCGCCTTTTCCGTCGCAAAATGGGCGACGGAAATTAGTTCCGTCGTAAATTCGGTCGTGAAGATTTTGCCGCCAATATTTCGCGGGCTTTATTTATCTTTGCGCCAAGATTCGCGACGGAATTAAATTCCGTCGCCTTTTCCATCGCCATTTTGCAACGGAATGTATTCAGTCGCAATTTCGGTCGCTAAATGGCGACGGAATATAGTCCATCGCGAATTTCCGTCGCGATTCGCGATTTTTCTTGTAGTGAAATCCCAAAAGTAACACAAGAGTGCGGGGTGTTATGCCACATCTGAGCTGGAAAACTCAGATGGACAGGCTACACTAACTAAACAACCTCAAAGCAATGTCAATACATGATCATGGCATGCAAGCCGAAATGGAAACTAACTAGTCTACGCTCTGGATCTCTAGCGCGCTCCGGTGTCAACTCATATGTGCTTGAAAGCCGAATATATCTGTTCAGCGAATGATGCTTGTAACCCACTCCAACGCGTTGAAATACAATATATATATATATATATATATATATATATATATATATATATATATATATATATATATATATATATATATATATATATATATATATATATATATATATACGAAAGCCATTTTGAAGTAGGAAGAGATATACTTGGGGGACTCTAGCTTTAAAATCAGAGACAGACTCAGCAAGTAAGGGTAAGCACATTCAATCATGATCAACCGTTATACAGAGACAACATTATAAAGAACATGTAACTAAGGTCACAGTTTACTTTCAAATTATCCACATCCTCATTCAATCATCATTCAATCGTCATTCAAGTCATCATTCAAATCATCATTCGAGTCACATAAGCACACTTTGGTGGCTCCATGGGACCAATCACATGCCCCGAACATGCGGGTTAGTGCGTATAGCACTAACATGGCCCCGCAGCACCCTACCTCATACCGCAGCACGAAGGGGTTGATCGCAACCAACCGTAAAGACCGCCGAAAGCTCGACGGCGGATCACAGCCCTACACACCGCTGACGCGCTCAGTCGGTGGACTGCGATCCTCTTTCGGGGATTACGACACTACACACCATTGATGAGCATAGTCGGTGGATCGTAGCGAATCAAGCCCTACACACCGCTAAGGGACTCAGTCGGTGGGCGAAGATCCTCGGAGACTACGACCCTACACACCGCTGGCCCTTCACTCGGTGGATCGTAGCCAACCATAGCTCTACACACCAACTGATCACTCATTCGGTGGGCTATGGTTTTCCTCAGGCTAGTGGCCCTACACACCGCTGGCGCGTCCAGTCGGTGGACCATCCGCACACGATGCCCGTGGGCTGTAGCCCAAGAAGTGAATCACTGACCGCAGCCAGGAAAATGAACCGCAGCTCATGTACAACCAAACAGTGGACCGCAGCTCATGTATAACCAAACAGTGGATCGCAACCGGCCTGGTTAACAGTTGGTATGGTTCTCAACCCATCTAACTGCCCGTATAACCAATTCGATTGCAACCAAATTGGGGAGTCATGCATCACATAACACATTGTAGCAAATAATAGCATATTGGGAAGGGGGAGACATATAAATAAGCTTACGCGTGATCATTCACATACTAAGAATAGTCTTATGGAGTTCATACAACTTCCACCTAGATCGACGGGTTACCGATTCAACTAGCATGTAATTCCTAAGACTCTTCTAAAATACGAATGGCACCCAAAACATCAAACTAGACTCAAGCACGACAAACGGGGTCCGTTGGGACACCACGGGGAATGGCGAACATCAAACGGGGAAGTCGAGGACCCGAGATGGGTACGGACCACCGGGTAGCCGGTGGGTGGGGGTCACCCGCCGGCTGCCCGCCGGTGGTGAATTTCCACTCAGCGGCTGGCCGCCGGGCAAACGCCTGCCCGCCGGCTGCCCGCTGTCTGGCGGTAAAACTCGGGCAGCGGGTAGGTGGCGGGTACCCCTACCCCACACTGTCTCTTTAACTCAATAAACATCCCGGGATCCTTTGTGGAACCCGAAACCATGCTTAGACACTTTTAAACGCAATTAACGACACCACATAGGTAATTAATGGATCGAAAGCAAGAATCGTATTGAACATATCCTAACATGATTTCTAGGTACGAACAACACCCGAGTATGCCAATTCCCACCCAAATATAAATCGAGAACATCACAATACAAATTCCCAAACCAACCTAGGGCTCTAATCCCATAACCAATTCATAAAAATCATATTTTATTTATATCATCAAGAAACATCAATATTTCTTCAAGAATCATCACATAAATATCAAGAACCTCTTTTTAACATCAA